CCTACTGAACCTCCACAGCTGGCGCAAACTCCGCCTGGAAACTGGCCACAAAATCCGAGCAGGTCATGGCCTCAATGGCTCGGGCTCACAAAGTATCACCGGCTTCCTTAAGGCAGAATTTCGTCACCTATGCAGACTCAATGTCTACGATCCATCTCCTAGCCACAATGGGGTCTTTCACCCCGCAGAAGTCTAGTGCTCCACATCCCCTGAAATCCTTAAAGGAGAGCGTTGGAGTCTCTGACTAGCCAGGTGCCATGCTACTCCTGAATGCCCTAAGGCGATCCTCGATCAGCTCAATGATACCCTCCTTGATCGACCCGAAAATCACCGAGGTCGCCTGAAGGATGCCTCTCATAATCTCGGATGCAATAAACTCGCGCAATCATTCATCAATTGGTTCGGAACTCGTACCTGAACCTGAACCATATCCTGAGCCCCCCTGCTCCATGACGCGCCTATTCTGAAACAAAATACAGAATCGTCAAGGTCATACATAACATCGAGAGGTCTTACACTCTGCCACTCTTGGTTCCTCGCAGCTCCCCAAGAGTCAAGTACAGATCCTCTTCTTTCTGTAGTACGGGCCTATACTACCTTCCACATCTATCCGTACTTTCCTCCTGGTTTGCCTTGGTTTACCAAAGCCGCCTCCTATCCATGTATACGATTCGCAATCAAATAATATATGATACTGATATCATCCTAGGCTTGCCCTAGGGTATTCTCCGACCCACTCTCCGCCATCACCTACATAAGAAGTCCCTGCTATCTCTCCCTAACTAGCTCGCGAATACCATTACATATTACTAAGACTAGATAACTCTTCGAATGAGAGGTACTACCCTACAATGGTTGGACTCAGACAAGAGCTATGAAATAGGGCTAGACCTAACCTTCTGAAATTATTTAGTCCTCGTAATATGTAACTTAACGTATTCATTTACTAGTTAATTAAAGATAACTAGGACTCCTAAAAGCACAAACCAAGCAGCATTCGAGCATTGAGTAACCAAAACCAAGCATATCCTAATCAGGCCATCATATCGCTGACTAATCAGTACTAGCATGCAGTTCAATAAGCACATACAGTAGGCATACAATGCATCCTTCCTAGATCCTTAGCCCTAATATAGCATGTAGTTCACATATTCATACTTCATTTCATAACATAACATATATGGGTATCTTGGGGAAAACATACTTGAGCTAGGCCGATTGCTCACATCACACTTGTTGTTATTTATTAGAAACCCTTAATTTTAATTTTGAAAAAATTATTTTTCTTGTAAAAACCTATCCAACCTTCAATTTGAGTCTAGACACCCCCGAATGTATGTCCGAATCCCTCAAACCAAGGCTCTGATACCAACTTGTAACATCCCAAAATTCAAGACCAAAAATTTCATTTTTTGATTAAGTAATTTATAAAAAAGTAGTCTGAAAACATCAATAGTGTAATCCAAATCATAATCAAACCCAAGTGTCAAAACATGTCATAGGAAAATAATATCAGAGCACAAATCCCAAGAATCTCATAATACGGAAAATCATGGTGTGATGCGATGAGATCATGCCGGCTCCTTTCCTTTCGAATAAGAAGTACCTGAAACCAAAACTGAAAAACCGTAAGCACGAAGCTTAGTGAGTTCCCCCATCATACCACATACCATACAATAAACGTACTGTCTAGCATATTCGGGTGCTGGCCTACCCTTTCGGTATCTTTTGACCGGATACTGCCGAGCATATCTAGCTATTGGCCTACCCCTTCGGTTTCTTTCAGCCAGATATTGTCGAGTATATCTAGGTGTTGGCCTACCCCTTCGGTCTCTTTCAACAGGCTATGGGGTGTATTTCACCCCTACCACTACCATATAATATCATAGCATACAAGCACATAAATCAAATACTGGCTAGCATATCTGGGTTCTGGTTTACCCCTTCGGCTCTTTCAACCGGTCACTGTCGAGCATATCTGGGTGTTGGCCTACACCTTTGGTCTCTTTCAACCGGTTACGGGGTCTATTTCACCCCTACCACTACCACATAATATCATAGAGTACAAGCACATAAAACACAACAGATAGTGGCATACCAGACAATTATCACAAAGACAATCATCTCTGCTATAAACAAGTACTAGTCGGCTGACATTGGTGCCTTCGACCCGCTCATTCCGGGAAGGTATCTCACCTCAACTGTGTGTGCCGAAATCGTACTCCTCGGATGGCTCGGGACTCCTCCCCCTAAAGCATAATAAGTCCCCTAGTTAGATATTGGGTCCAAGTATGACTCACTTATGGCCCAACTTCTAATTCGTGTCCCAAGGCAGGGTCCCCTAGTCCTTGCCCTAATGGGCCTCTTCCCTCAAGGTCCAACCCATAAACAACTTACGACCCAAATCCATTCATTTATGCTTTAAGGCCCAATAATGCCTAAAAAGGCCCAATACCATAAATCCCAATCCTACGTCCAGAGGCCTTACTCCATAGTGGGTCATGAGGCCCAACAAATTCAGGCCCAAATTCCTAAGGCCCAAAAACACCTTAACCACTCTGCATGCGTACGCACGGCGTACCTGGCACGTACGCTCGGCGTACGCTGGCCTTGACCAGAAGCGGGAAGTTGACCCAGAACGCGCAATGTACTAGGCGATATGCACAACATTCCTGTCAGTCACCTTAAAATCCTTCTTTTGACTTAATCCATTAAGTCCCAATGTCAAGAACATAGATCTAAGCTCCTAACAACGTCCTTAGCCATAAAGTTATTATGGTTTTTCATGCATGGATGGGGATTAAGACACCCATTAAGTCCATAAGCTCACTTTGTGGCCATCTATCACTTGCATGGTTGGGGCTAAACCATCAAGATCTGATTTTTATGGTTCTAAATGCTTCCAAGAGCTCAAAAGGACAACTCTTATGGACAGATTCTTCCAAAACTCAAAGGACCTCAAGTATGGGAGCAAAATGTGACATAAAACACACCCCAAAACTACATCTAAGCATACAATGGTCAAGGATGGATCTTGATACCTCAAATGATTCAGAAAAGATGCCAAACTTCTGGATCTACAAGCTCTCTTCAAGTCCTTGCTCCTTCTTCAAGCTCCTTGCTCTTCAAAACCACCAAAACAACACCAAAATGCTCAATGTAAGCTCAAGATACATGCAATGGAGTTAGGGTTCGAGTTGGGCACTGTGAGGACAAGGGAGGCTTAGAGGATAAGGGTTTGGAGGGTTCTAAGTTTCTTAAATATGGTGCAAACCCTAAAATTTAGGGTTTGCATCTGATCAACCTACGCCCAACATACGCATGGGTACGCCCAGCGTACGCATGGGGACTCCCCGCTCCGCACCTCATATATGTACGACGTGCGTACACCATATACCTCCAGCATACGCTCCGGCCCTCAAACCCAATATAAACATAAGTATAACTTGAATAGGAAGCAACATAATACCTGACAAATCCCGGACATTACAACACAGATTAACAATGTTTGGTTACAAACCACACTTTCATCATAATGAACACATATATACACACAACAATATCATTGGTGACTAAAATATGAAAATGTACAGTAAATGAGACATACACCATGATTTAAATGGTTCAAATAGTATGCAAGATTATAATCTACATTCATGCCAACATCATTTCTTTTCCTTTTATTACATGTTATTCAATAATTTCTAATCTCCTTATTTGTTCCGGATTATTGATGAACAACTCAATGACTTACCCAAAATATTCCAAAGAAATAAACCCCAGTATGCTAATTAGGATTAGCCTTTTTCCCCATTATTATTAGCATTTTCCTTTTGTTGGAATGCAATATTGTACGTTAATTTGGCCTATATTTAGCCCATAGGCTTGTAGGGTTTCCTATGTCTAGGGAATTCTACACTCAAAAAGTGATGTTTGTTTCAATGGAAATATTGTTTGGACATTTTGAAGGATTATGGGATGATTGAAACAAAACTTTGTGAGTCCCCAATAATTCTGAAATGAAAAGTGTAAAGTGGAGATACATTTGAGAACGTAGAGAAATACCGAAGAATTAGGGAAAAACTTAACTACATGACTATTGCATGTCCATGCATTGCTTTTTTTTTCGGTAAGTGTTGTAAGTCAGGTTATATCATCTCTGACTACAATAGGTTCAGATACCGACTACGATGAGGATCCTATAAACAGTCGGTCTACTAAAGGCTATTGTGTTTGTCGAGGGGAATCTAGTTTCGTCGAAAAGTAAGAAACAATATGTCGTTTTAATTCCATGTGTTGAATTTGAATACATGACTATGGCTGAGACTACATGTGAGATGATAAAAGGGTTTCAATAAACTATTTTACCCTCAATATATTCCTTGTTTACACCTTTTATCATATACCTTTGCATTCTTCATTTATATTCTTTGTTTTCCTTTTCATTCAGCCTAATTATATATAGACAGACACCTACCTAATTATCACTTACGCCTACCTAATTATCATTTAAATGACATGACACCAAGGTTTTATAATTGGACTAAAACCCAAAATACTTTGATCAGTGAAACCTGTTCACAAGCATGTACATAATCTGGATCTTTATTTTGATCTTGTGTTGGTTCTACCCACTTTAGTTACTAGTTACTTTATATAATACTCGTGTACATGCAATCTATTTCGCCATTGCATCTATTATGTTCAAGAAACCATCCATGCAATCTATTTCGCCATTGCAACTATTATGCTCAAGAAACCATCTTTCAATCTATATTTCATATGAAAATACTTTTTCTAGATTTCACAATTACTATGAAAGAGGTTAACACATGAAAAACTAACAGATCAAAGGCCTATCCAACCGTCAAGAAAATGTCATTTTTTAAATGACATCTGTTCATGGGATCCACGGATATAAATTTAGCTTTACGTGATTTCAAATGCTGTTAATGAATGACATTAATGATCTGATATTTCTGTTGTAGGAAGTAGAGGCTATGATACTTCCTTCTTTAAGAGAAAAAAGGAATGCAGCTGGCCTAACACCTCATGAATTATTCACCGAGAACCATAAGCAGCTAGTTTCTAAAGGTGAAGAGTGGATAAAAGGAACAGCTAACCAATGCATGGTGGTTGCTGCACTTATAGCCACCATGGTATTTGGGGTAGCCTTTTCAATTCCTGGTGGGTACCACCAAGACACTGGCCTTCCAATGTTTATCCGAAAAGAAATCTACATTGTCTTTGTCATATCCGATGCTATTTCTTTGTTCTCCTCTTCAGCTTCAATCCTCATGTTCTTATCCATGCTAACATCTCGTTATGCTGAGCAAGATTTCTTAGAAGTATTACCAAAACAACTAATGATAGGTCTAGCAACACTTTTCCTCTCCATAATGACCATGATGGTTGCTTTTAGTTTCAGCTTCTTCGTGCTTTACCATAACAAGTTGATCTGGGTGCCGATATTTATTGCTGTGGTTGCTGCAATACCGGTTATTTTATTTGCTAAACTGCAGTATCCTCTTTTGATGGATATATACGGCTCAATATATGGTTCCAGGTATATCTTTAAACCAAAGAAACATATGCTTCAGAATCGGAATCCAAGGTGGTAAATGTTGTCTTTAGTCTTGAATATGAAGTTCCATTTGTAGATTTTCTTTCAAGCCTAGCTATTTATTAAAACATCAGTAACTTTGTATGTGAATGATTACATTCCATTTTCTTTGTAATGTTGATTTTAGCCGTGCGGTTGGTATCCTGCAACGTTTTTTGTGCTCTCAGATTATTTAATCCATCGGTTCTTTAATTTATTAATGTGACTTGATTTTTTGTTGCTTTTGTTAGAGTAACTTGGAAATATCCGAATCATAGGGACCATCTACAAATTAGCATTTTCCTAGTTTAAAAATTAAAATAGACCCTACTTGGCATTTCATCCCTATTTGTTTTGTATATTATATATGTATTCTGGAATACTATTTCCAAGCCTTTGGCTCAACTTTTCTAGCCATCCTACACAATTCCTATCATTGTAGAGTTATAAGTATGTATGATCGACGTCGACTGCCAGAGAACTGACGTTCATGCAGGACCTTCAAAAGGCTAAAATATTAGGATTCGTTAATGCATAGATTTTCATCAACAGTATCTGGAGGTACACCACCGCGAAACAAATTTGGGACATTTTTTCCACAGTTTACCACTTTTATTGTCTGTTACAAATATTAGTTGTGGCCAGATTTTTAGAAAAACGACAACAACCAAATCAATCCATTAGTGCATCAATGCATATGTATTTTATATTCAAGTCATAGAAGATCAAACGAAGTTGGATTAGCCCAAATTTTTTTATAGAACTACCAAGTAATTCAGGGTTTATTATAGTCGGTTGGATCTAACCGAAAGGCTCCAAAACAAGTTTGAGAATTCAGGGGAATCAATCCTAGACATTCATCCTCTTCCTACTTTAGACGAGGCTATCTCCAAGCTACTAAGTGAGAAAACTAGAATCCGGCATGGGGGTCCGTATGATGTAGTTCTTGGCATGTTCTTGTTAGAAAACAACACTAAACTAAATGAACCTCGATATCCAGGCCAACAAAAAAGAAATGATTGTGCTTTCTTTCATGAAACATCCCATTTGCTCTTGGACTGCCATATTTGCTCATGCATCTGGTGTAGTATGAAACATATGGGACATTACCGATTATGTTGTGCAGAATCAAAATATCAAGGATATCCTTGGAATAGGCTTTAAGGTTGAACGTATGTTTAAATTTCTCTAGCGCCATCCACCCAAGTCATCCGCCAATCTGGTTGCCTCCACATCTAGCTCGTCATTATTTGACATATGCCATGTTCATTTTGGTCATTATATGTTTTAAGACTAAGATTATATTTTAACTCTGGTTTGCTGGGAAATACTAAAATTGAGCCAATTTCTTATTATGTGTTAATTGGCAAAACAACATGACTTACCAATTAATGTAAATGAATTTAAGTCAACTCCTTTTCTAACCTAATAAACAAAAATATTTTTTTCACATGTCTTCTTCTCTTTCATTTTGACATATGTTATTTTGTGGGAGTTTTAGAATTTTTATTTTCCACTTGTCATTTTTTCGAAATTTCTATTTTTTTTAAATAAAATTCTAACGAGTTTTATAAGGAAAGAGAATCATTCTGTTAATTTGATAATAAAGTCTCAAAAATTCTCCAAAGAGTTTTTTATTTTTTTTATAAATATTCCAAAAGATTACATTATGTTATGTAAATGTATTACTTTATAAAACATTTAATATTTAAATATTGATATTAAATTTTTATTTTTAATAAACTCGTATAGTACAAGGGTCTCACACATAATGGTTTAATATAGTATATTGTTTAAAACATGCACCTTACCCTTCTGAAGGGAGGAGCTAGGCTTTTTTTTATGATCATACACATTTCACATGGATTTATATTATGAATCATTGATGTGAATTGCCCATTATATAAATTTACATTTGCTTAAATAATTTAGAAACAATTCTCAAAACGTATAGAGGTATTATGTGTTGACAATGATATAAAATACATAGAATTGTCACTCTCATCGTTCATCCATCAAGAAGGTGTTGTTCTACAATACACATGCCCAAGTACCACAAAAAATGTATGTATGTATATGTTAGAAATAGGGGATGAACAGATTACTTGGATTCTCTGAAAGTCGTGATTCACTATTAAATTGAAGTATTCCGATGGTACAGATCGAACACTCAATTAGATGAAATTCAGAGATACGAAATCAGAGAATGTATGTGAAAATGTTCCTCAAAAAGATGTACCAGAAAAATGACCAAAAACGGCTATATGATTCCTGTCTGAAAACTGTCACTAGACACTTACAAACTGTCATCAAAACTATCAAACCTGTCATAAAACAGATCTCAGGGTAAAGGGTCAATTTTCTCAAAAATTGAATTTTTGATGCATTTTTTGATATAGCAAACCTATCATAAAACGAATCTCTGCCCTTGGACCCCCGTTTGTTTAGGGGCTTCGGCCCTAAATAACAGTGTACTTTGAATCTTGAAAAACTTGAACAAATGTGCACTCCTACACCATCCTAACTTGTTCAATATTCAACAAGATCACTTTTGGTCAACAAAATTAATCCTATTATACTTAAATAATATTGATGATATTAAATCACCAACATATGTATATATATATATATATATATATATATATATATATATATGTGTGTGTGTGTGTGTGTGTATGTATGTATGTATGTATATGTATGTATTAAGTCGTGGGGATTGATTCACTCTATTGACCCTATAGTGGCTAGGCAGACCAAGCAATGGTTTTTCTCACAATTGGTAAAGGAAACTTGGTATGAAAATTAAAGAAAAGTATACATGTGTTGAAGCAAGTTGCAAGACAATAGTAATTGAAGTTTGATAGCTTCATGCAGAGGAGCGGTATATGAGGGATGGATTCTAAAAAGATCACAATCGGTCATATGTTCATAACGAGAGGTATGAGGATCAATTGGATGTTCATGTTACAGAATAGTGTTTCTCTTTCAACCATATAAGTAGTGTACATGGCAATTATAGAAGAAAACAAGGAGCTTATATGGTTGAAAAACTTACTATCGGAACTTGGGATGCAACATGAAGATCATGTACTGCATTGTGTCAACCAGAATGCAAAATTTAGCACAAAATCCAGTGTTTCATAATATGATGAAATACATTCAAATGAGTCACAACTTTATCCAAGAATTGAGTCGTGATGAGACTTTGAATTTGAAGAAAAAAAACCTTTGTACGAAGAATTCGGTAAACATGTTTACCAAGGTCGTGGCTACAAAGAAGTTAAATTTGTCTATGGATTAAATTATCCTTCTATGTAACTGAAGTGAAGGTGTTGACTAGAGAAAGATGGGTTACCAAGTTCGAGAATAGATGGCAACAAATTTGTTCATCATCATCCAAGTAGGAGGTTGTTAAGTTGTGAGATTGATTCACTTTTTTTACCCTATAGCCACCCCTGTAGGGGATATGAGAAACACGTATGAAGAAAATTTTAGTGGGCTAGTTCCTATATCATATTCTCCTTAGGATTTTATTATGGGTCTGATTTTTCAAAGTTTCGGGGCTTGGCATTATTGGAAGTTTTAATTCAACTCACTAGTATATATTCCCTAAATTTGTGTAACCTAACGTAACATAGAAGCCATTCAGCGTAATCGATCAAATCTATCTCACATGTTCGCTCGTAGACATAGACAATTACAATGATTGTGTGAAGCACATAAATTGATTATGTTCTTGGTTCACATTATCACTCTACGTAAAATCATTATTGTTTGCTAAAGTGCTTAATCCATAACAACTAGTATCAAAGTTATGAGTGAAGACAATAAGGTTAAGATCAAAAAAAATGAAGGTCACGATTTTATATTATGGAGAATGCATATCGAATATTACCTTTATCAGAAGAAATTACATGAACCTTTCGCCGAAAAGAAACCCAAAAAGATGAAACATGAGGAATGGGGTTGTAATGTATATTCACAATAAGGTTAAAATCGAAAAATAGAATGTCATAATTTCATATTATGGATAATTCATATCGAATATTACCTTTATCTGAAGAAGTTACATGAACCCTTCACCAAAAAGAAACCCAAAGAGATGAAACAGGAGGTATGGGGCTTTAATGTATATTCACAATAAGGTTTTAGGAAGGATACGATTTGTTAGGAAATTATGTAGTAATTTTTTTTTCTCTGGGAAAATCCTTAGCTAATAAGACGTCGTAGCTTCATGAGGTTTAGTACCTAAGCTTAGGTGGGGTTGTAATATATATTCAATTTTTCCAATATATGGGAAAGTGAATATACATTATACCTACACCTAAGCTTAGCTACAACACCCTCTAAATGACGTCATTTTGGAACTTACTATACCATCCGAACGCATTTTCTTCCTCTCTTTTGTAATTCATCTCGATCGAGATTACTTCTTCCCACCATCACGGACATAATCAATATGCCTTTTTCCATATCAAGATTTCACCTTCAAACATGATCTCCTAAACAAGTTTTTTCAAAAGATTTTCTTCTGATTTATCATTCTAGCCGATGTACTAAATTTATTTCTTGTTTGTGATTGCCTAGTTTCGGGTTTTTTATGAGAGAAATTATTTTGATACGTGATTTTTTCTAGTTCGTTTAGTTCGTCAAATGAATTGATTCCCCTGTTTCGGGTTTTTATATGCGAGAAATTATAGATGATTTACGCTTAAACGAAATCAGTGATTATAACTAATGACGACAAATAATTATAGGAATTTTAGTTTTATTCAAAATCAAGTGTTGAAGACGATTTATTATAAACAACATGGTAGTGTTTTGGCTAATATTGTTTTTTGAACGGAAAGAACATTGGATGAGGAATGATTTGTAGTTTGTGGGTGAATTTGATAAATTTGTTGATTGAATGGAAATTTTGAAAAATTGACAAATGGGGTTGTGAAATATTATTGGTTCAAATATGCAAGTTTACTAGTGCCAATTATGAAGTCAAAGGTTGTGAATGTTATTAATTTT